GAAAAGTGCTGTGATGAACATAAGGGTGGGTACATGTGTCCTTTTAGTAGACCAATTTATATTCCTTTGGGTATATACCTAGTAATGGGAGTGCTGGGTTGAATGGTAGTTCTGTTTTAAGTTCTTTAAGAAACCTCCAAACTGCTTTCCACAGGGGCTGAACTGATTTACATTCCTACCAGCTCCATATAAGCATTCTGTTTACTCCACAGTCTTGCCAGCATCTGTTATTTTTTGACTTTTTAAACATAGCCACTCTGACTAGTGTGAGATGGTATCTCATTGTGATTTTAATTTACATTTCTCTAATGATTAGTGATGTTGAACTTTTTTTATATGCTTGTTGGGTACATGTCCGTCTTTTTTTGAGAAGTGTCTGTTCATGTCTTTTGTCCACTTTAAAATGAGGTTACTTGTTTATTGCCTGCTGAGTTGTTTAAATTCATTATAGATTCTGTATATTAGACCTTTGCCAGATGCATAGTTTGTTAATATTTTTTCCCATCCTGTACGTTGTCTGCTTACTCTATTGATAGTTTCTTTTGCCATGTAGAAACTCTTTAATTAGATCCCACTTGTCTATTTTGTTTTTGTTACAATTGCTTTTGGAGACTTTATAATGAAATCTTTGCCAAGGCATATGTCCAGAATGGTATTTCCTAGGTTTTCTTCTCGGGTTTTTATAGTTTTAGGTCTTACATTTAACTCTTTAATCCAATTTGAGTTGATATTTGTACATGATAACAGGAAGGGGTCTAGTTTCAATCTTCCAAAAATGGGTAGCCAGTTATCACAGCACAATTTATTGATTATGGAGTTCTTTTCCCATTACTTGTTATTGTTGGGTTTGTTAAAGATCAAATGGTTGCAGGTGTGTAGTTTTATTTCTAGGTTCTCTATTCTGTTCCATTGGTCTATATGTCTGTTTCTGTACCAGTACCATGCTGTTTGGGTTACTATAGCCTTGTAATATTGTTTAAAGTCAGGTAGTGTGGTACCTTTAACTTTGTCCTTTTTACTAAGCATTGCTTTGGCTATTTGGACTCATTTTTGGTTCCCTATGAATTTTAGTATATATTTTTTTCCAATTCTATGAAAAATGATGTTGGTAGTTTAATAGGAATAGTATTGAATTTGTACATTGTTTTGGGCAGTATGACCATTTTAACAATATTGATTCTTGCCATCCGTGAGCATGGAATTTTTTCCATTTGTTTGTAGCATCTCTGATTTCTGTCAGGAGTGTTTTGTAATTCTGTGATACTATTTGGCTGTGTCCCTATCCAAATCTTATCTTGAATTGTAGTTCTCATAATCTCCATGTGTCATGGGAGGGGCCAAATTGAGATAATAGAATCATGGGGGTGGTTTCCCCCATCCTATCTCAATAGCAAGTTAGTTCGCACAAGTTAGTTTTATAAGGGGCTTCCCTCTTTGCTGGGCTCTCATTCTTCTCCTTCCTGCTGCCATATGTTTGCCTCCCCTTCCGCCATGATTGTGGGTTTCCTGAGGCCTCCCCAGCCCTGAAGAACTGTAAGTCCATTAAACCTCTTTCCTTTATAAATTACCTAGTCTTGGACATGTCCTTATAGGAATGAAAGAACAGACTATTACAGCAAGTTGGTACCACAGAGAGTAGAGTGCTGTTGTAAAGATACCTGAAAATGTGGAAGTGACTTTGGAAATGGATAACAGGGAGAAGTTGCAACAGTTTGGAGGGCTCAGAAGACAGGAAAATGTGGGAAAGTTTGAAACTTCCTAGAGACTTGTAGAATGGCTTTGATGAAAATGCTGATAGTTATATGGACAATGAAGTCCAGGCTGAGGTGGTCTCAGATGGAGATGAGGAACTTGTTGGAAATTGAAGTAAAGGTCACTATTGCTATGCAAAGAGACTGGGAGCATTTTGCCCTGCCCTAGAGATGTGTGGAATTTTAGACTTGAGAGAGATGATTTAGAGCATCTGGTGGAGGAAATTTCTAAGTGGCAAAGTGTTCAAGAGGAAGCAGAGCATAAAAGTTTGGAAAATTTGCAGCCTGGTGATGCAATAGAAAAGAAAACCACATTTTCTGGGGAGAAATTCAAACTTGCTGCAGAGACTTACATTAGTAAGGAGGAGTCCAGTGCTAATCACCGAGACAATGGCGAAAATGTCTCCAGGGCATGTCAGACACCACTGTGGCAGCCCTTCCCATCACAAGCCTGGAGGCCTAGGAGGAAAAAATGGTTTCTTGGGCCTGACCCAGTGCACCCTGCTGTGTGTAGCCTAGGGACTTAGTGCCCTGCATCCCAGCTGCTCCAGCGAAAAGGGGCCAATGTGGCTAAAAGGGGATAAAATGGTCCAAGGTACAGCTTGGGCCATGGCTTCAGAGGGTCCAAGCCCCAAGCCTTGGCAACTTCCACATGATGTTGAGCTTGCAGGTATACAGAAGTAAAGAGAACAGGACCACCATTCCCCAGACCCCAGAATGATAGATCTATCAACAGCTTGCACTATATTCCTGGAAAAGCCACAGGCACTCAATGTCAGCCATGAAGGCAGCTGGGAATGGGGCTTTACTCTGTAAAGCTCCAGGTGTGGAGCTTCCCAAGGCTGTGGGAGACCACTTCTTGCATCAGCATGACTTGGATGTGAGATATGAAGTCAAAGGAGGTCATTTTGGAACTTTAAGGTTTAATGACTGCCCTATTGTATTTTAGACTTGCATGGGACCTGTAGGCCCTTTGTTTTGGCTAATTTCTCCCATTTGGAACAGGTGTATTTACTCAATGCCTGTATCCCTATTGTATCTAGGAAGTAACTAACTTGCTTTTGATTTTACAGGCTCATAGGCAGAAGGGACCTGCCTTGTCCCAGATGAGATTTTGGACTTGGACTTTTAAGTTAATGCTGGAATGATTTAAGACTTTGGTATCTGTCGGAAGGGCATGATTGTGTTTTGAAATGTGAGGACATGAGATTTGAGAGAGGCCAAGGGTGAAATAATATAGTTTGGCTGTGTCCCCACCCAAATCTCATCTCGAATTCTAGTCCCTGTGATCCATGTGTCATGGGAAGGACCAGGTTGAGATGATTGAATCATGGGGATAGTTTCTCCTATCCTCTTCTCATGGCAGTGAGTTAGTTATCACAGGATCTGGTGATTTTATAAGGGGCTTCTCCCTTTGCTAGGCTCTCATTCTTTTCCTTTCTGCTGCCATGTTAAGAAGGACATGTTTGTTTCCCCTTCCACCTTGACTATAAGTTTCCTGAGCCCTCCCCAGCCCCGAGGCACTGTGAGTCAATTAAACCATTTTCCTTTACAAATTACCCAATCTCAGGTATGTCCTTATGGCAGCGGGAGAATGGCCTAATACATTCTTCTTATAGAGATCTTTCACCTCACTGTTTAGCTGTATTCCTAAGCATTTTATTCTTTTTGTTGGTAAGTCTCTGTTGAGTGTGATGGTGTGAAAAGGACTTTAAGCCATTTGACTTACAAAATTATTTTAGCTCTTCCCTAAAAGACAGATTAAACAAATTTTGTTCTATAAAAAAAGTTTGTATATAACAAGGAAGACATGAAAAAAGAAAAGATGTAAGTGCTGTTCATCAGGAACTTAAATTGTGCTGTTGTATCTGGAGAGGGAGTTGGAGCAGAGCTTAAGGATCCCCAAACCTCCATAGTGGGCAGGAAGGGGTGAGGAAGGACAGTCACCACTTATAAGAAAAAATAAAATGTCCTACACCCAGAGGCAAGCCTTTCTTTGGTAACTGTAGTAGTCCCTGCTTGTGTACCTACTCCCTGCCCCACCTTTTTCTTGCACAGAGCTATTGGCAACTTTCCCTTTAGGAGAGAGGCCTTGTGGGGAAACTCACATAATGACAAGATGCACAGCCACTTATATGAACTATTCCAGTCTTTTATAATATTTATAAATATGAACCTATAATAGAAGATTGGAAGAATGATGAAGAAAGGTAATTGCATGAAAGAGAAGAATCAAGATAAGCAACACAAACAATGGAACCCAAAAGAACAGAAATAATGTCAGAAATAAAATATATTACAAATAAAACTAGTGTTAGTATCCTGAGGGAGATTAGGGAGGCAATTATATATATAAAACAAGAATAGGCTGCCAAAAAAAAAAAAAAAAAAAAAAAAAAAAAAAAAAAAAAANAAAAAAAAAAAAAAAGAGCAACTAAAGAACAAGAACAAGTTCTTAGAAGTTAAAGGCATAATTAAGAAAATAAAGGGTAAAAAATAGAATGAATATAGCTGAAGACTAAACTAGTGATCTGAAAATAAAGTCAAGGAATTCTCCCAGAACATAGATAAAAAAGACAGGGAGGGCCAGGTGTGGGGACTCACACCTGCAATTTCAGCACTTTGGGAGGCCAAGAGGGTAGGATTGCTTGAGGCCAGAAATTTGAGACTAGCTTGGGCAGTAGAGCAAGACCCTTTCTCTACAAAAAAATTTAAAAAAAAGAAAATAGCTGGGTACAATGACATGTGCCTGTAGTTGCAGTTACTCTGGAGGCTAAGGCAGAAGGATTGCTTGAGCCAGGAGTTCAAGGCTGCAGTGAGCTATGATTGTACCATTTCATCCGGTCTGGGTGACAGAGTGACACCCTGAGTCAAAAGGTCTTTATTGTTTTTTAAAGTTTACTTTTCTATTGCATGATTGGTACTCACATTTTTATCTATCCTTTTTCTAAAATCTGATATTTGCAAAACCATTTCTGTGGCATATGTTACGGAATAGGAAAGCTGCTTTTCCATTCTCTTACACTTACCAGATATTTGGAAGAAAAAAAATAAAATAAAATGTTGGAGACAGTGCTAATTGGTGCTGGTAATTGAGAGGACAATGTGACTTGCTTATTTCTCAGGTTTATTTTGGTATACTCATTGTCCTTAGTTAACAGCAAGTCTAAGTCCATAGATGGTGCTGAGTAAACATCTCTTAAGTATCTCTTTCTCTTTCCTAATAAATATGACTTCTTTTTTATTTAGCTGCATTACAGGCACTAAAGAGAAAGAAGAGGTTCGAAAAGCAGCTCACTCAGATTGATGGAACACTTTCAACCATTGAGTTCCAGAGAGAAGCCCTGGAGAACTCACACACCAACACTGAGGTGTTGAGGAACATGGGCCTTGCAGCAAAAGCAATGAAATCAGTTCACGAAAACATGTGAGTGACTCTGGTCTCCCCATGAATCATAAATTCCCTCAGTGTTGGGAAGAACCTTTGGAACCATATTATGACTTTGGCAGGAATGGATTTACTCATTTGAGGCTCTTTGACATGTTGAATGAAATAGTGTCTCAAAGAAAGATTAAAGGTTATAGCAACAACAAAAAAGACCATGAAAAAAGGAAGGGCATTCATTTTTGCCTGTAATGTTTCCCAGTTACTTTATGATTGCTGGAAACTGTACCTGTAAATATTTAAATTCTACAATTTAAAAAAGGCATGGCACAGTGGCTTATGCCTGTAATCCCTGCACTTTGGGAGGCTGACGCAGGTGAATCACCTGTGTCAGGAGTTCAAGGGCAGCCTGGCTAACTTGGTAAAACCCAGTCTCTACTAAAGATATTTTTAAAAATTAGCCAGGAATGGTGGTGGGCGCCTGTAATCCCGGCTACTCAGGAGGCTGAGGCAAGATAATCACTTGAACCCGGGAGGCGGAGGTTGCAATGAGTGAGATCGCACCACTTGCACTCCTGCCTGGGCGACACTGCAAGACTCCGTCTCGGAAAAACAACAGCAACAACGACAACAACAACAACAAATTTTAAAAAGTCTTCAATTTCATCCTCTGTGAGGGTGTTGGAACTATGGGATAGTGGCTGTCAAACGTTGGAGGGAATCAGAATCACCTGGAAAATACATAAAGAGAACACAGACGCCCAGGCTCCTTGAACTAGGAAAGGGTTTGGGTCCATGTCATTCTGATGCTAACCAATGTTTGAGAACCACTGACACAGAAGAATAGCTATGAGCATGGATTTGGGTATTAGATTTTCTGGGCTATAATCCCAGGCCAACAACTGACTATCCCTTGGGAAAATTATTTTGTCCTTTATTCAGCTTCCGTATATGTAAATCAGAGATGATAATAGTACTTACCTTGTGGTTATTGTGAGAGTCAATGAGATATTATATATAATGCACTTAGCATAGTTCCTGGCACAAAGGGAGCACTCAGTAGTATTCACAATTTGCTTAACATTCGCACTGGGAAATATGTCTGTGACCTGATCCTTTTCTGATATTGCATATGAAAGTGGAACCTGGGCCAAAGATGCACAAGAGCAATGAGTACCTATGAGATGTAGACAAATTTTCATAGAATGGGAAAAGGTGAAAAAGCTAGAGGCTGGGGGGAGTGAAGACAACCTTGCTAACACTTTCTTTTCTGGATAATTCATTAACAATCAGCCTCCATTTTTACAGCTTCAGGGAGATCATTAGATTCATTATCAGAGTCAAAATTCTCTGTTACTTTTGGGTACCAAAATGTATTACAAAATCAGCGTTTCTCTCCAGGCAGCTTGGCAACATCATACCATTGTATTACATTTGAGAAAAATTCGTTCCCAGGCCCAAAGTTTAGCCATACATTTTTTTCATGTTCCCTTTTAAAACATATTTGTTGAATATTCATTATAAATAGAATAATAAGGTTTAGAGATAAGGGATGGTCAAAGGGAAGTAAAAGTATTCTTTTTTGATTATTGCATTAAAATGTGTCAAAATGGCTCTTATAGAGTCAGAGAAACTCACAAAAAATTAATTCCACTGTAAATCAAACTTTTGGTATTTAGGCTACTTAATAATGAGGGCATTATCACTTCTCTTCTATCCAATCAGTTTGGCCTAGTTTCAGAGTTGTAGGAATTATTCAGCGACCAGCTACTATAGAAACATTCCAGAACCTGGCATGTAGACACCAACATGCTTAGGCAGGTGTTTAGGAGCCAGTGAAGCTCAGGTGTTGGAAAATGTCTTCAAAGCTGCTGTTCATCCTGAGCCAGTGACTACCTAGATTTCTTTGCTGCAGTTGCTAATTCTTCTGAGGGCTTTATAGGTTTAATCCTGCTCTCTTTAGTAACCTCTTAGGGCATCACCACTATGGGAAAACCCTCAGGGAGCCAGGATCTCAGAGCCGCTAAGTGTTACAAAAAATTGCTCTCTAGCCCTTCAACAAAGGGCTGCTGTAAGATAGGGGCTCCTGAGAGCCGCCGAAGCTCATCTAGTCTTGGTGGTCCTGGTGGTCTGTGGCAGTGTTTCCTGCAGAGTTGATACACAGCAGCATATATTTAAATTTGACATATGCCCAACCAGAAAAAATTTCAAAATGGGTCTATAAATATTAATAGTTATAAAATACTTTTATTTTTAGTGAGTTCCAAATGTAATAGGTATTTGCTTAGTGCTTTTAATATATGTGCATATACAGGATTATTAACTTTTTAAAAAAATATAAATTATCTTTAAAGTTGGTAAATATCAGGAATATTTATCCTACTGAAATAACTAAGAATTTATATTAAATGAACTGACTTTTTCATGTAGGACTGTATCTAAATTATAAGTTAACATTCTAAAATGTTCAACAAAATGTGATTTCCCAGGGATCTGAACAAAATAGATGATTTGATGCAAGAGATCACAGAGCAACAGGACATCGCCCAAGAAATCTCAGAAGCATTTTCTCAAAGGGTTGGATTTGGTGATGACTTTGATGAGGTACGTAACCCAATATGGAGAATGCAGGACTGTGGCTGCTGTAAAGAGTAGCTTCCCATCATATACGGTAGGCAGGTTCCCTTACTACTGAAAGAACAAGTGATATTTGTCAGAAAGGTACTTCTCTTAAGAGAAAAATAAAGTGTTAGTAGCTCTGATTTAAAGGGAAGATTAATATAGTTTGGCAAACAGCTACCTAATTAAGTTTTCGGCTATTAAGGAAAAAACAGCATGTGATTATGTAAAGTTAGTGACTTTTAATGGTTGAAATCTAAACAGCCCCATTAGGAGGAACTAAATGCTCACACATCTGGGCAAAACAAAGTAGACTTTGTCATTCTGCATGAAACAGAGGTATGTTTCTCTATGGCTATTAAATTAGAGGTTAGGCTGCCTCTGTTTATTACTCAGGCTATGAAACCAAATAAATGTGGAGTGGCATTATTAACACACAGATTCCATGTAGATTAATCAGTCCAATAATACAAACAGACTATAATTATAATGGTGATGTCTGCACTGTGAATTTCAATCGTTCTCAAAGCACACACAAGTAGGACTAGCAGACATATAGAGACATTTCCAAAGCTTGGATTAGCATGGCAAATAATGCAACTTCCTTCATCTATGTGATATTAAAAATAATACACTTAGCAAGTAAGGTGTGGTTCCATGGAATCCCCCTAAATGAGAATGGGTATCAACACCTTTTAAAAATGGTGCTGACAAAGGGTTGGAAAAAATATGGCTTGCAGGTCAAATTCTTCCCATGACCTGTTTTTGTGTATCCTATAAGGTCAGTACAGGTTTCACAATTTTAAACTGTTGGTGAAAACTGACAACAAAGGAGACTATGGAGCAGAAAAAAACATGCAGCCTGCAAAGCCTGCAATATTATTATTTGGTCCTTTACAGAAAAAGTTTGCCAACCCCTGGTGTGGACTAATAAGCATCTAATGAGTAAATTATGATGTGGTGGAAAGGACTCCAGGCTTATGTGGATATTTGGGCTCTATCATTTATTGAAAACTTTGTGGCCGGGCACGGTGGGTCACGCCTATAATCCCAGCACTTTGGGAGGCCGAGGCGAGTAGATCACAAGGTCAGGAGATCGAGACCATCCTGGTCAACATGGTGAAACGCGGTCTCTACTAAAAATACAAAAATTAGCTGGGCTTGGTGGCACATGCCTGTAATCCCAGCTACTCGGGAGGCTGAGGCAGGAGAATTGCTTGAACCCAGGAGGCAGAGGTTGCGGTGAGCCAAGATCGTGCCATTGAACTCCAGCCTGGGTAACAAGAGCGAAACTCCATCTAAAAAAAAAAAAAAAACTTTGTGTAAGTCCCTTTTACTTTTCTGACCCTTAGCTTTCTTATCTATGATCATGAAGATTATTAGATCACTGGATTATCTCTAAAATATCTTAAATTAGCGTTTGGTACCTAAAGAATGAAAATGATGGAGGAGATGATTACTCTGTTATCATATTGCTAAAGAAAATATCAGTATGTTTCTGCTGCTGTTGAAAATGATGAAGCACTATTGATAATTCTGGGCATACATTTGGCATAGGATAGCTTGTTCTGCCATTACTATATTTATGGTATTTGTCCCTAATTGTTTTATGAGCAGAAATAGGACATCAGGGTATTCACGTTGATACCATTTTATTCATGTGGCCTGTGGAAATCCATCAAGTGCACAACTATATTGACTGTGCTATTTCATATGGCCCAATGCTATACACCTTCATATTTTCTTCTCTTTTTATGAGGCGAATTTAATAGAGGTAAGACAATCTTTCAGCTTGCTGCAATTCTGATACCCACTGACTCAATCAAATGTTGTGATTGGCATAAACATCTTCTCTCTCCCCACAGTGTTATTACTCTCACTTTAATGTTGGATTATTATTTGTTTATGTGCCTTTCTCCTGCATTTGAGCATAATCTCCTTGAATATAGGGAGTGTTGATTTTCAAAACCTGTCAAGGAGTGAGTGCTCAATAAATTTGTTGAATAATGAATGAATGAATTCTCTCATTCATTATTCATTCATGAAAGAAAAATCTACTTGGATGAATATAAGGTGTCCCAGGTCATTTCTAATAGTGACAGCCACATAATTCCATCAATGGCAAGTTTAGTTGTGACTCTCAAACTCTCTCTGAGAGGGCTGGACTCCACTTGAGGACTTATGAAGCCAGTGAGATCTGAACTATCTGAGTCATCTAAGAACTGGCATAAGGTGACTTACATCTTTAAGGTCTCAAACTAGCCTTGTCTCTCAAAAGTTTTTGGGACAGGGAGTAGTTTAAGATTAAACCAGACTCTTTGGTACTATTGCTAAAAGAAAGAAATATGGTGTACTTATCTTAAATTGAACTTTTCTTAACCCAGATGTGCAGGCTAATTTATATTGGCTTTGGTGGTTTGATAAAAGAATCGTATCTCTATCTGATTCTTTTTACTTTCTGTGCATTATGGTTTTGCTATACCTGTTGTTTTATTTTCAATAGCATTAGCCCAAAGAAAAACATTCATTTCTACCAATTAAAGTTTTGTAGATTATAAACAGTAGAAAAGAACACATTGGAAAATGACAGGCAAGGTGTAAATTTCCCAGAAGCATGGGGAGGTTATATATTCAGCTAGCACAAATTACATGAATGGCTGTTTACTGAAGTATTAGAAGATTAACTACAACAAATTTGCACAACCCAAAATATTCATTTTTTAATCATTGCTCAGTGTTGCAAAAAAGACTTAGTTTTAAAATAAATATTCCATTTCACTGGATTCTCACATATCAATTGGGTAGCAGATGTTCTTGTTACTGTGTTTGAGGAAACCCACGTCTTGAAACGTTAACTCCATAATTCTTCCTTTCTCCTGTGTTCAGGATGAGTTGATGGCAGAACTTGAAGAATTGGAGCAGGAGGAATTAAATAAGAAGATGACAAATATCCACCTTCCAAATGTGCCTTCCTCTTCCCTGCCAGTACAGCCAGAGAGAAAACCAGGCATGTCTTTCACTGCACATCGAACCCAAGCAGGTCTGCTACCCAGCTCAACCACCTGTGGTCAGATAGTTGCCTAAAATGATAGCCAGGCCTATTCTTTTTAGGACATGTTTTTGATTTCATATTTAATACGTTTTTATATGTAATTCATACCTGTTTTCAATGCTCAAAGTGTGAATGTCACCAATTACTAATTTTTATTTTATGTTCCAGCATCTTCCCGGAGGGCAGAAGAAGAAGATGATGATATCAAACACCTGGCAGCTTGGGCTACCTAAACTAAAATGCATTTTTGATACCTAAATTAATGAGCTGTAGATAAAATATAATTTTTTTTTTGCCAAGTTCAGAAGTTAACAAAGGCTGTTTTTTTGTTTGTTTTTGTTGGTTTTTTTTTTTTTTTTTGAGATGGAGTCTCGCTCTGTCCCCAGGTGGAGTGCAGTGGCACGATCTTGGCTCACTACAACCTCTGCCTCCCAGGTTCAAGCAATTCTCCTTCCTCAGCCTCCTGAGTAGCTGGAATTGCAAGCACCCGCCACCACGCCCACCTAATTTTTGTATCTTTTAGTAGAGACGGCATTTCACCATGTTAGCCAGGATGGTCTCTATCTCTTGACCTCATGATCCATCCGCCTCAACCTCCCGAGTGTGGGGATTACAGGTGTGAGCCACTGCGCTCGGCCGACTCTGTTTTATAATTATACTGAATGAATAATTGTGTTTTAAGCCTTCTAAGTAAAAGTAAAAAAGGAGTCATGTGTACATATAGAATCAATGATGGAGGCTAAGCGTGGTGGCTCGCACCTGTAATCCCAGCACATTGGGAGTCCAAGGTGGGCAGATCACTTGAGGTCAGGAGTTTGAGTCCAGCCTGACCAACATGAAGAAACCCCATCTCCACTAAAAATACAAAATTAGCCAGACGTGGTGGCACGTGCCTGTAATCCCAGCTACTTGGGAGGCTGAGACAGGAAAATCGCTTGAGCCAGGGAGATAGAGGTTGCAGTGAGCCAAGATTGTACCACCTGCACTCCAGACTATGTGACAGAGAGAGACTATCTCAAAAAATAAAAAGTAACACATTTAGTATAGCTGGGAAAAGTAACGTTATTTCCTATGTGAATGAAAAGTTGCTGTGTGTATCCATGTAGCTATGGTAAATGTAAATATACTGTGTCTCTTTTGGGAGCGACTTCTAGTAGAGGAGTCTTATATGAATCTATACATAAATAGTTTCACTTGAGTTTTGCAGTTTGAAATCTTAAAGGAGCTTTAATTGACATTTATTATACCAATTAAGCTTGGAATGGGGCAATGGATGCATTTCGCAAAATGTCTGAAAGCACTAACAGCTTACACTGCTGAGTGAGAATCTCCTGGGTGTAATTTACCCACTTAGGGAACTGCGTTAACACTCCCAGGCCATTATGATGCTGTTATGGCTTCAGTGTGTAAATGCATGAGTGTTCTTCCTGTTCTGTTTTGTGCTCTCTTGTACATTAATTTACACTTTACAGAATATTCCTTGTAAATACATAAAAATATTGGCAATTAAAAGTATATCTTGAATAAAATTTTGGCCATAATTATTTTTAAATGAAAATAAATTACAAAATTATGTATTACCCATAATAGATCATGGGCCATCAAATGACAAATATCATTTAATAAAATATTTTAATATTCTCTACATTTGCTTACCAATATGGTGGAATGGAAAGAGCACTAGACTCAAAGGTAGGCGTCCTGGGTTTCAGTCCCTGCTCCGAAACTAACATGAGCCAGTAGACTCTCTGAGCCTTTGTTTCTTCACTGGCAAACCTAAGGATCGGACTTGATGATTTTCTAATGATTCCATCCTGCCAGAGGCCATTTGCACATTCTGTTCTCCTTAGCAGTCTTCCTATCCTGCACAATGCAGGTACCAATCTTATTCCTTAAATCTTAAACTATCCCTTGTTTGGGGAAACTTTGCTTGATTGCCCAGACTAACTCAGGTTTCCCCATTATATGCTGTTGCAGTACTCTTCCTTCTGTCATTTCTTATCATGATTTATATTACATATTTACTTGAATGATTCCTTAATTATCATTGCTCTTCCCTGCTGAGCACTGCTAACCACGAGGGCAGGGATTGCTTTTCTTTTAGTTAAATAGTTGATCCCCAGCATTCTGCAGTTTCTCATCAATAGGCAATCAATTAATATTTATTAAATGAATGACAATTAAGAGTTTACATGTTTCAGACCATGATAGAATAACAGGACCTAGATTTACCTTATACTCTTAAACCATTGGAAAACTGATGAAATACAGGAAACAACATTTTTCAGACATTGGACAACAGGCAACACTGGACAATGTTTCTTGAGAAGGGACACCAGTAATATGAGCACTTCCATGGCCCCAGCCCCTGCCTACACAGGGAAGGTGGACCCAAGTAGAGCTTGGTGGTCTTACTGAGTTGAGAAAATTTGTGGGGAAGAGTACTAGAAAGGACGTTTCTGCAGAGAGAGAGAGAGACAGAGAGACAGAGAGATGCAAGTAGGAGGGCATGAGCTATCAATGGTCTGAATGTTTGTGCCCCCATCACCTAAATTCATGCATTGAAATCATCACCCCTAAAGTCATGGTATTAGGTGTGGGGCTGTTTGGGAGTTGATTTCATGAATGATGAATGAAATTAGAGCTTTTATAAAATGGGCCCAAGGGAGCTCATTCATAACCTTCCTCCATGTGAGGACACAATAAAGAAGATGTCATCTATGAACCAAAGAGCGAGCTCTCGCAAGACACCAAATTTGCTGACATCTTGATCTTGGACTTCCCAGACTTCAGAACCATGAGAAATAAGTATCTGTTGTTTATAAGTTACCCAGTTGATGGTGTTTTTTTATGGCAGTTCCAGCAGACTGAGAGATAGAGAGACACACACAGAGAGAAACAAAGAGAGTGAAGTGGTGGTGGGAGGATGGGGAAAGAGAGAGAGGGAGAGGAGAGAACTCTGGAACTCGGCAAAAGAGTACCCTCAAATCTGCCTCTGAGGACTGATCTGCCTACATGTGTGAGGAAACTACTGACACCAAGAAGAACTGTTGGAAAGACAGATGGATCAATCTCCAGAGCACACACAGGTCCAGGAATAGTTTATATACCTGCTAGCCAGAGTGGAAAGACCTAATACAGGGAGCATTTGGTTAAGTCCTCAGAAGGGTATTGCCTCAGTAGTGGTGCCATATTATACCTAGACTAAAGGGCACACTTCACAAAGCCTAAAAGCAAACCTCAGAAGGATCAAATGATTCCAATTGACTAAATTGCATCCCAGAATAAAGCCCTCAAATACTTAAAGGAATATAAAAACTATCAATTAGCAATAACAAAATGAATAAAACCTTAGCACCCAATAGCATAAAATTCACAAAGTCCACCATTGAGTCAAAAATGTTCAAGCATCCCAAAAAGCAAAGAAATTCAATCCATAACTAGGAGACAAACAGTAGGAACAGATTGTGAAATGACAAAAGGCAAGATTTTAAAACAGCTGTTATAAATATACTCCATATGTTCATTAAGACAGCTGTAATGAATATACTCCGTATGTTCAAGAAAGAAGAGGAAAACCATGATCATGATGAAGAGAAAAATGGAAAATATTTTAAAAGACCCAAATTGAAGTTCTGGAAATGAAGAGTACATGATCTGAAGTGAAAAATGCAGAACATCATTGATGGCATTAACAGCAGATTGGACACTGCAGAAAAAAAGATGAGTGAACTTGAAGACATAGCAACAGAAACAATTCTAAATAAAACACAGAATGAAAAACACTAAAAAAAAAAAACAAGAAAACAGAGAAAGAGTGAGCTGTGGGACCATATCAATCAGCTTAATGCACAGGTAATGGGAGATCTGAAATGGTGATGATGAGCTGGGTGGATGAGGGATGATTGGGCTGAGGAAACAGAATAGAAAAAACCTTTGCAGAAATAATGGCCCCAGAATTTCCAAATGTATTAAAAATTATAAACCTTCAGTCCAATGAAACGCAACATCTCACACAGAAATCCCTGTATCCTTCAATAACAAAAGTTGTTGTGGAATGCTAGATTTTCAAAACCTCATGAGTGATGTCTGAATGTCTCTCCTCACTCTAGTTAAATACACATGCCTATCCAGTTTAGCTAGATCTGTGAGATCCAAAGAGTATCCATTAACCACATGAAATGAACACTCAATAAATGCTGGTACAATTGAGAAACTGAATTTTTAGTTCTATTTAATTTTCCCTAGTTCAAATTTAAAAACGGACACGATTTATTAAAAAACTATGTTCAGAACACCTTAGGTATGTGAACTGACTTTTAATTTTTTAATTTTCTTTCTTTCTTTTCTTCTTCTTCTTTGATTTTTAGACATGAGTTCTCACTCTATTGCACAGGCTGGACTCAAACTGCGGGGCTTAAGCAATCTTCCAGCCTCAGCCTCCCAAGTAAGTGAGACTATAGGCATGTGCCATTGAATCTACTTTTTTGACTGTAAAATTTATGTAGTCTTTATACGAACCAAGAACTTCAAATGGAAATATGCATCTCATTTAAAATGCACTCTAAGTGTGAAATATGCATTGGATTTCAAATACTTAGTATATTAAAAAGAACATAAAATACCTCATTAATAATTTTATATTGATTACTCATTAAAATATTTTGGATGTATTGGGTTAAATAAAATATAGTGTTAAAATTTATTTCACCTGGTTTTTAAAACTTTAAAATAATATGGCTCCTGGGAAATTTAAAATTACATAAGTGGGTTGCATTATTTTTCTATTGAGTATTCCTGGGCAAGACCAAATCCTGGCTACCAGAAAGTTTACAGATAACATATGACTTGAAATACTAAAATGCTAAAGTATTAAAAAGAAATGTTTATAAAACATAATATTTTACCTTGAAAAGGAATAGAAAATACTTTGAAATAAATTATAATGCTGCTCCTCTGTTGACAATAAGAAAGCAGTGAAACACAAGAGAATAGTTGTAGAAGTAAATCACCTTTGGATCGAAAGATATGAAAAAGAATGAAGATATTAATCAGTCGTCTAACAGTATTTTTGGTAAAGCATCCTTAGAATTGGAAGACTTGTTTGGATGTTATAAATTCTGGTATGTTTGCTAACAACTGGTCCTACTTTTAGGGCACCTCAGTGGTAGACCTCTGTTTGGGCAGTGCTGCATAGCTAGTCTGTTGGTATTCTGTCTTTTTTTTAAAAAAAGTTTTCTAATAAATAAGGTTTGTTTTTTTTTTGTTTGTTTTGTTTTTCCCTTTTGGTTGTAGAAGTGCATTCAAGATAACTTAAGAGAAAAAGTTGTATTTAC